CATGTAAAAAGCCACCTAATTCCCTCATTTTCCACCAATGTGTTACTGTTCCTCCCAAACAACTCACATATTTGTCAGTGAAGCTGAGTGCTCCCACATCTCTTCCTTCATGGTGCCCATCTAAGATCCAGAATTCTGAGATTAAAGTCAGAATTCTGAGGTTTTTTTTCTCACATTATACTGAAATAAAAATAAAAAATCAGTTAACTTTTATTTTTTCAGTGGCCCTAATCCTGTTCCGTAAGGTTGATATGGAAAGGTAGGAACACATGTCAGACTGCAAGATCTAATGACCACTTCTCCTAAAAATAATCATTCAAATCATCTGATTATCTGCTTAAGGAATTATTCTAGATTATCTTGGTTCAGTTTTTAAATAAAAATACCTATATTCGACAAAGCAATCAAACCGTAAACAAGCTTCATTATCTTACCCCAAATATTATCTGCCTTCCGGATGGAACCCTCAGCATTTTTAACCTGAAATCAAAGGTCAGTTAGCAACAGTAACAAGTTTTTTTTTACTTTCATCAACCCTAAATAAAGCCCTTGTTATTTTCACCTAGCATTCAATCTCATATCTGACGCAACAGAAAGCTTTTTTAGTGCATCGCTTAAATAGAAGCATGGCCGTTATAATTACCTAAATATAACTCGGTGCCTCCAATAAGTTAATCCTCGCTCACTTAGCGATAGTAAGAATTTGGTTTAAAAGTTAACGTAAACTAGCTAAACCAGAGGTCATTTTCTCTCAGCCATTCAGTCGGTGTTCGATTAAAAGCCTGCCCGATCTGACATCGACTGGTCAGTCTGTAGGCGGACACGTAGAGTTGCATTCAAAGCTGCACAGTTCCAATGGTACCGTGCTATTTAAATACTTAAATCGAGACAAATATATTTCACATGTTTACTCACAATTTAATTTAACTGTGTGACTACTAATGTGTTGTTTAAATCTACGCTTATCGGAAGGTTCCGCTGATACACAGTTTAAAGCTTCCCTGAGTTGCATAATAACAAGTGTTCTTGAACGCAGCACGTTTGAGGCTGTTCGAATCCCTCAGTGCCAGCGCCAGTCGTAAGCGCACCTAAACCCAAACAAACGTAGACAGCCCGATTTTCGAAGAAGTTTGCAGATATAGAAAGAAGTCGCGTTCTTTGTGTTAACGGACTCCCCGCGTATGCGAATCCCTCTCTACGTGAGACCACCTTGCTACTGAGAAGGTAGGCGCTATCGTCTTTAAACATTGCAAGGTAGCTCGCTAGCACTTAGCAGGCTGATAAATGTGTGGTGCTGCTACTAAGGTAGCCATTTTGAAACTGTGTTGTTCCAGCCAAGCCAGGTCTGTTTACCTCTTTTGTATGCCCGTGACAGTGGCTTAAGTTGACCGTTTTATGCAACCTGGCAATAGTATATATATTTTAACTCGACTAAGCCAGCCAGCCACGCGCACTTTTGTCAAATACTCCACTGCTTTCACGGGCGACTAAACAGGCTAGTTAATGTCAGCTCTTTGCTAGCAGTTGCTATGCTAACGCGAACCTTAGTTTTGTAGACAGTTTGCTAGCTGCGGAGGAGGAACAAATATCACGGCGCTACATTTAGGTATTTATTAGAAATTCATTGAGTTGCACAGTGGAATAGTTCGTCCCCTGAAATATGCCGAATGACTTTAAATCATTTAATTTAGCCAGTTAGCTCAATGAAACGTGCGCGGAACTGTTGAATTGGGTTCCTGCAGCACTCTTTGCTCATTGGGTTTGTTTACGATTAGCTGGTGTTAGCCGATGTGTTTTTCTAACTTATGTGGATTAGCATGGAGTAGGTTCTGATCTATGTTGTATGGTACCAAAGTACATATTTGTGTTGTAAATTGTCTGTCCGCGGCCAACTCATTGATGATGAGCTCTTACGTAATAGCTTAGTGAGGAAACGTTAACCAGTCCTGTCTGCCCATGTGGATGAAGCCCAAAGTGGACAAGGCATCAAGATCATTTAAAAACTTATCTCCAGATTAATTGGAGTTTGCATTTCATTGAAACTACTGATATTATGGAAGAAACTCTTTAAATAATCAGTTTTTTCGAGCAGGTTCTGCACTGGCTTCTTCAGTAAATAATGTGTAACCAAGTAGGTATAGGTAGCAACTTTACCTTGAATTAAAATTGAATAAATATTTAGTTTAGAACCTTCATATTTCTATTTTAGGATCCAAGCTTCCATGTTTATAGTTACCTTTTAATTTGAGCTGTTTATTTAACTTCATGATTATAACTGATGTCATTTTACACACTTATCTCTGGCATGACTGGTTTTATAATTTTGGGTATATGGTGGTTTATTTGAACCATTTTTATTAAATTTTTTAAGGATTATTTGGTGCAGATATTTTAGATTTTTTACTGTTCATTGGACACACATATACGCTGACATCTCGTTAAGTGTCCTGTTGGCATGTTCCACTTCATTCACACAATTGTTTTTACCATCAACAAGCATCAAAGAAATGTTTGACCTTTTGGCATTACTGGGAGAGCTCCTTTAATCTGTCTTACCCCAACCTACCCACATATTTTAATCCTCAGTTATACCGTTTTGATAAAGTTAAAGGTGATTTCAGATTTAAATTGTGAGCCCTTATCTTACTTTTTGGGGAATCATTGGCCTTCTGGAACAACTGTGTCTATTAGGGCTGAAACAATATGTATATTCAGGTTTAATCCATCATTAAAATTATTGTCACCTAATTTGGTAATCAATTAACTTGAAAAACATTATAGACGGATACATCAGCCAGGAGATATAAGAAAGGTTGTTTTTTTTTTTTGCTTTTTCTTGTAAAGATGTCATGCAAATGATGACAAAATCTGCATGTAGTGCTGCTCCCTCCATTTGCTGTCCAGTGTTTGTGTGTTTCATCTTTTATTTTTTTTTAAGAATTTTTATTTTTGGTTAAGATTTGGAATTAAAAAACATTTATCATTATAAATTACAGCTATCATGTAATTTGATTTAATTTTTTACTGAAGTATACATGCTCTCAAAATGCCAGAAATTACCACTAGTAGTAATCAAGCTAAAACTAAAAAAGAAAATAAATAAAAACATACATTTTGTGTTTAAGAGGAAAAATAAGAACTTTATTTTCAACTGGTTCAAATTCTGTGTGTAAGTAAAAAAAAAAGATCCTACAAAGCACCTTTTACTATCGTATTTTCTGATCGTAAAACCCATTAACAGATTTGTCAAGCCAGTAACATAATCCTAGTCTCCATGTTTAGACCACCTAACTGCATTGTAGTTGAAGTTTGGGCTGCAACTAACGATTATTTTGCAAATCGGTCAATCTTTTGCTTATTTTTTCGATTAATCGATCAATAATCAGCTAGCCATGGGTTCCTTGAAAAATACTTTTTGCGAAATTAAACCAGGTGAGACTAAAACTTTTCCACTTATGAGGTTCTGGCTCCAGCACATTGACAGACGAGAAAGATTTTCATCTTGAATGCAAAGTCTTAACATATTTTTGTTTACAATTTTGGTATAATTGCTGCTAAAGGTGTCAGCTAAAAACACGGTTTAAAGTCTCTACACTGCAGTTAACGATTAATCGATTAGTAAATTAGTTCACAATTATTCCAATAATTAATTAATCATGATTAATCAAATCAATTGTTTAAGCCCTAGTTGACATGTAAGAATTTTGATGCTTTCATCTCCGTTCTTTAAACTTTTGGCTACACGGCACTGGTGACAAACAAGTCCCACAGCATAAGGCTGCCATGCTCTTATTATTATGCCATGCTCTTAGATTTGAAAGCTTAACCTTCTGGTCTTATCCAAACTTGAAAGCTGTCATCTTATGATGTAGCCATTTCAAGCAGCTTCAGAAAACTTTTCCAATTTGTCTAAATCTGCACTTCTTAGATTCCTGAAATTCAGCATTATTCTAAATTTTGTTCAGGCAGAAAATTGTGTTTATATTGGCAAAGAGAATTGAATTGGAGAAATTCAACAATGAATTCAATAGGGTTGGGAATTTATACGATTTTCACGATTCTGATTCACTTGAATTTGGTAAATGCACGGTGACATTCGTCTACCTTTGCCTGGGACATTCTATTTCTGCCTGCCTCAGTGAAAACAGAAAGCAGTTAAAGGGAGCTGCCAGCCTCTGAGCCAGCCAGGCTACCAGTCTCATCACAGTCATCTAAATCTAATGGAGAAGGCATCTCTTTAATGAAAAAGCATTACTGTACAATTTTTGGAAATAAACTAATCTCCGTCTAATTTAAATAAACGAGCGTCACCTTTCTCTCACTCCCTGAACTGCGGAGTAACTTTGTAGCATCTTTAATAACCCCAAAGAGAGGAAGGAAATTGGTTTATTTCTAGAAATATGATTTACTAGGAACGACATTAAGCAAAGCCAGTGATATAAAACTAGCTACTTACCACCAGAGTTGCCTTCCATGCTGGTCGTAACTTTAGCTTCTGTGCAGAAGCATCAAAAACACGGCGTTCGTTAAAATGTATGCCATGTTGTGTGCGCAGGTGTTTCTGCAGGTCGTATATATTTCCTCCTGCGGATGTAATTGCCACTCTGCAATGATTGCCAAACTTTTGAGCGCTTTAGTTTTGCTTTTCTAGACTTGCGCCTGGTCACGTCGTACTTGCTTACTGAATACCGCGTGCGTAACTCTCGTAAAAAAACGTGACGTTATTCGTGCTTCCCAATGCTAGACTCTGGTGCTGCCTTGAACCATTAAGACAACCGTTAAGCTAGCTGCCAAATGGTGCCATGGAATTGGAATACACGGAACCGGTTCTGAACAGGAACCGGTTTTCGATTCCCATCCCTAGAATTCAATGGTGCAGCCAATTTTATTTTTAAGACATGTTGAAGTTCTATACTTTTTGCTAAATAAATTCTGCACAACGTGCCCCATTAAATCCCCAGAATGATCCTGAAATTCAACCCTTTCGGAACTGAATGTGCTTCAGCAAATGATCTGATATTTGCTGATGAGTTATACAGATATACAAGTATTTGTTCAACTGTTTAAAGGCGGCATCTAAAATGTCAAAGTTTGCATCAACTTTGATTAAAGTAAACCTGCAGAATAAACCATTCAAACCAATACATGGCATTTACAATTTATTATATTCTACTAAATCAACGCAGAGAGTCTACATCCTCAGGTTGAATAATTGAAATTCAGGACATTTTAAGGACTCCAGCTATTTTGGCATACAAATAGATTAGCCAACAGAATGTATCTGGATGTTTTTTTTGCTTTTACTATAAACCAGATTAAGCTTGAGGAAATTTGTTTTAATGCATGGTGGGGTGTTATCTGTTTCCTTTGTCTGTTCAGAATCAGAATATGCTAGGCTAGTCTCAAATGGAACTGAACCATGTTGATTCTGCTCTAGTATTAATGGTTTTAAGATTGTTATGTTTTGTATTTCAGATCCAGTCCGTTCCTGCGAGCAGTTGGCAAGACCGGTGAAACTTTCACTGAAGCAGCGAGTCTTGGAGATCATAATTAAAGAAGGAGCAACCCACTTTGCAAACGTTGGATACATGCTGTTTTCTAGCATCTGCTTTTGCTTAATTGATAAAGAAGCTGACCAAGCCGCTGACCACAGACTCTGTTTTTGGACTAGTTTAGTTGTCGATAAATGACACCCGTCAAGGCCTTTTGACATTGTACGTCTATGAAATCAGGTAGAAATCTTCCATGTCCACCAGTCAGAAAACTGCAGCTAGTTAAATGGGCATCTTTCAAATG